TTGTACACTGTACCACTATGTTATGCTGTCCCAGTGGTCAAGTGAGGTGGCTGGCACGTGTGTGTGTGTGCACGTGTGTGTGCGCTCATGCGTGTTCCAACAGCCCTGCCCTGGTGGGGCTCTCCAGCGGACCCCACTTCCTGACCCTCCACATAGTATGTGGCTCCCTCAGGTTCAGTGACCCTGCCATTTTCTGGGGCCCTGCTCTGGGTGGAGCGTACCTCCCCTCCCCCACGCCATCTCCCTCACCCTGGCTTCACCTAGGCTGCTGTGAAAGGTGGTGGTTTCCATGGATATACGTCTCCCTCTGGCGACACGCCCTTTTTTGTATAACTCTGTTCCCTAGAGTTGATTGTTTTTGGCACACAGCTCCGTAAACTCATCCAACAATTAAAAAGGGGGAGGGGTGGAACTAAAAGGAGACAGATAGTAACTGGGGTGAGTGACACACAGGAGGGCCTCTGGGGTGTGGGTCCCCTCTCTGTCCCTGGCTGGCAGCAGGACAGCACCTTAAGTGCAGAAAGGCCACGTAACAGCCAGCCGGGCGTTCTCGTGGACGTCTGATTCACGACGTGTTTCCTCCCATCCGCGCTGCGTTCTTGCTCCATTTATTTCTCCCTCGGAGATCTAAAGGGGCCCATTCGCGGAGCCAACGTAGCCACCTCCAGAGGCCACCTGAAGCCATGAGATGCCAGCGTGGACCAATTGGAATATCTGCTGCCCTTGTTTTGCTTAATTGTGTATGTGTTTGCTCTGTTTGTATACCTACCATCAAATACCGACTGCACTGGGCGTACCCGTCGTAGGCCGTGTGAGATCACAGATGAAAAATGCAGTGAAAAACACTTTCGTGCCACGACACATCATGTAGGATTTTTGTATTAAGATGTGGATTTTTTTATTGTGTTTTTTTTTCCTTTTCCATACAGCCCGGGAGTTGGGCAATGTGCATGTCTGTGTTTCTGTTTTCACTCCGGGTGGTTTATGAAATCTGCTCATTAGAGCTCTGTCCTCTTCCCACCCCTGGCCTGATCTTCTACCCCTTTGTCCTCTCGCGTAGACTTTTCTCCACCCCTTCTTCCCAATGTCTTCCCTCTTTTGGGGAGGTGATGGGTGCCCCACACACACATTCACTCAGCTGAAAATCAGGGGTTCCTGTGGCCCTGCTTCTCAATCCCTCGTCTCTGAGGCAGATGTTCATTGTGGTGGGAGGTCCCGATGTGAGGGAGGCAGCAGAAATCTCTGTCCCCTACCCCCCAGGATAAATAAAGCCCCTAGCTTGCCCTTTGTCTAGAGAGAAGAAATGGAAGTCACCCCGTTCCCATAAGACCTCCTGACTCAGCGCGGCCCTCTCCTGGGTGGCCTTCTTGTCTTCGTTGCATCAGATGACAGGTAGTGATGGCCGGTTCAGCCCCATCCCCCTCCAGGAGGCCATGCCTACAGCCTGGATCCCATTTACCAGCTAGATTCATGGCTTCTTCTGCTCACCAGGTGCATCATTGTAGGCCTCACCTTCCCACACTTGGAGCCCAGCCAGAAGGAAGCACCTAAGCATGGCCTGTGCCTTCCCTTTGGTCGTGATCTCAAGTGCTTTCTGGGATTGGAAGGAGGCCTGTTTGGAGGACAGAACGGAGATCCATTAGGTGTGGGTGGGTGCTGAGATCCTGGGTGGGGACAAAGAGGAACTTTTAAGTGAGTTGGGTTTGGAGCCTGTCAACTCCAAGTCCAGGCCTGGCTGCAGCACTTGTGAGCTGTGACTTTTGGCAAGTCACTCCATATCTCTGTGCCTGTCCGTCCCAATCTGTGCCCAGGGACCATGTCCTTCCTACTCTGTGTTGTCAGGATTTGGTGCCATCAGGTGTGAACAGCACTGAGCACGGTGCTTGGTGGATAGAAGGCATCCAGTATGCCCTCTGCTCCCAGCATGCTCCCCGGCACATAGTAGGTGCTCGGTTAGTTCTTATTGGAATCGGAAGCGGATCAAGCGACCGAGCGGTGCCCTTGAACTTGAAAGTTATTAATTCTTGGTGCTAACAGAGGAGGGAGGAGAGACCAAGATACAGGTTGAGGCTTAGGGGAACCAGACAGAACAGAGCGTTAAAGTCGCCGATGCAGTATTCTGTCATTGGAGAGGGATGAAGCTGCCCGGGCCCATCTGATTCTGACACGAAATCAGGGACTAGTTCAGTTCCACAAATGTTCACGCTGCCCACTGTGGGCCAGCTGTTGTGTTAAATGCTGGGGACGCACAGATAATTAGGACCTGGTCTCTGCCCTTGAGGAGTTTAAGAACTCAATGGTAGAGACAGACTTGTGAACAAATGACTTTAGTACGGATTTAAATGCCGCAGTGAGGGATGGATAAGGAGCAGAGAAGAGGGGCATGTGGGCCTGCTTGGGGTAGATTCTGGAAGGTCACCTTGAAGAGACTTGGAAAAAGAGGGTGGTGGTGGCTGGGAACATTCTGGAGCACTGCTAACACCTTTTATATCTCTCGTTGATGGCCCACCCCGGCTGCTAGGTCGGAGGGAAGAGGGCGCTATTTCCACTTGACCAGTGAGGAAGCTGGTCCCTAGGGGGATGAGGTGGCTTGTCCGAGGGCCCGTGGCCCATGAAGTGGCCGAACTGGGGCTCAGAGTCTTCTGGTTCTGGGCCCAGTGTTATTTTCTGTAACTGCGCATGGCTCTCATGCCTTCCCCCGGAGATGCTGGCCAGAGAGCTCCATCCTCTGGGCCCTGTACCTCCTGACCGGGATTTGTGAGGCTGCCACGGCCCCGGGGCCTGTGCCCTGGTTTGGTAAATGGGTCAGGCCACTTAGTTGGGGACAGTCCCTGAGCGAGGCCACACCCTGGCAGGGCTGGAGGAAGGCAGGAATGGGGAAGACTGAGGAGGAGGGGGAGGTGGCCTGAGCACACCCTTTATTCAGCTGCATTTGCTGCCAAAGCTGGGAAGCTCCCTCTGCCCTGGATGTGCCTCTCCCTGGGCTGGAGGAGGCCAGGCAAGGGCCTCGCCAGGGCCCGAGCACCATCTCCCCCTGTAACTTCCCTCCTGCGCCAGGACGTAAGACCCTGGCACCGTTGGTGTTCAGCGTTCACTTGCGATCAGACTCCAGTCTCTCGAGTTGCTTGCCGAGAATCGGGGAGGTGGGAGTGTTTCTCTTGACCTTCTCTGGGGAAATGTGTGTGCCTGGAAGGGGGGCGTGTCCGCCGTATAAGACGCTGGCTCTCGGGTGGGGCAGGGGTCATTCCGATGGGCACTGTAGTAGAGCCCCCCAGCGGAAGAGTATTGCGAAGTGGGGAGCTGTGGGTGGTCTGAGGCACCCCTTTCTCTAGCTTGGAGGTATCTGGCTGATGAGTGGGCTGCCCGGGGCTTTGGGAGATTCCAGACCAGCAAGCAGTGGCAAAGTGTTAGAGCCCAAAAGAGTAAGTCTCCCAGTGGCCCTGAAGTTCCCATTAAAGTGTTTTTTCCTCTTTTTTAAAGAAAAAAATATTCCCAAACTGGAAAACAAAGGAAATCCACTTCCCCCAAATCACACGAAACTCACATTAGGGGCCTGGCGGGAATCCATGGAAACCAGGAAACCCGCTGTTAACTCTGTGCGCCGCTGAAGGGTGGGGTGGGAGCTGGGCTGATCCAAGGTCCGGACCACTGTCACTGGCCCCCCCTGATGGTTTTCCCTAGGGAGCTGCTCTTGGTGGCGTTGCCCCAGAGCGGCGATGGGGCAGAGCTGATGCTGGAAATTCTTGCCTTCGAAGCACCAGCTCCTCCTTCCACTCATGGCCTAGACTTGAGAGGCAAGAGGGGAGGGCTTCATGTCCTCCAGGGAGGCCTGGGGGACCTGAGGGCTGGGCCAAGTTGGAGAACCTGCTGGGTGGCTGCCCACACCATGCCATGCCGTGGAGTCAGGGCCGAGTCCACTTACGTGCTCCGGGCACACACAGGCGCTGAGGATGCTGTCATACCCCAGCCAAGGGGGAAGGGAAGGACCAGAATTCCAGCCACCACCCTCCCTGGTGCCAGCCCCTTATGCGGGGTGGGTGTGAGCGTGGACAAAGAGCCCCTCTGGGTTCCTGCACCCCGCTCTCACGTTCGTGAGGCTGGACCTCCACGCCTGGGAGTTTGTGTGCTAAGGTCTGTAGTGTGTTTGTGTTTGCACACCCACGGGCTAATTTTTCTGAAAAGGCCAAAAATATTTACAGGTTTGAAGTTGAAACGCAAACAGGAAAAGCCCTTTAAAAAGTGAGTGTATTCAAAACAGGAATCACCATGGAAACACCACAATATTTGCTTAAATTGACACAAAGGTTGCCGGTAGCAGGGCACCAACTTTCTCTGGCCACGGTCTTTTGGCCCGACGATACCTATAACAAACGAATCTCAAAGGCCCCCGGTCAGGGTGTGCGTGCGTGCACCCCTTTTCTTGTTCTGTGGGGTGAAATGGCAGAGTGCCAGAGGAGAGGGAGAAAGGCAAAGAGAAGACGCCAAAGTCACCATCTGGGGTAGCTGCAGAGACACCTGTGGAATCCATTTTTAGAGACTCCCATAAGGCCACCGGGGGGTCATGGGAGCAGCTGGGAACTGGCCAAGGGAAAGTCTGGAGGGAGCGGGAGGTTGGGGAGCCCAGGGGTTGGTTCAGTTGTGTGGGTCTGATCTGGTTTGATCTACCGTCAGGCTGACCTTTCACCCCGGTGTGGAGCCTTGGGTGTGATTACACTGTTATTATTGGGGGTGGCACCTGATCGGTCTATTATTGTTTCTACCTGTTTGATTCTTTTGTTAGGTGTGACAACTGCATAGCAGTTGGCTAATAGTTGTGCAAAGGGTACATTGGTCATCGAGTCAGGCATGACACGCACCACAGCAATGCCGTCTGCTGATTGGCAAGCAGCTTCGAGAATCTCTTACCTTGCTGGCTGGTTACTGTGCAAGATGTCAGAACCATACCGTCTGTGAATCTCAACTGTAGCCTAATAATCCGTTTCCCTTTCTCGTTTTGGTAGGCATCACTGGCTGAAGGCAAAGACCCCCTCCATCCCACCTGCCCTCCCAGCTGCCACGGCCAGTAGCCCCTCCTGTCGAAGGGGTCCTGCAGCTCCAGTGGTGTGTTCTGGAATGGACTTCGGACCCCGGCCTCTTGAGATGCAAAGGTAGCTAGCTCAAGATTCCCAGTACGTCACTGGGAAATGTGGGTGGGGAGCCGTATGTGGGGGTTCCTCCTTGGGAAAGAGACTGCCCAGGCCTTTCTCAGTGGCTTCTGACCTGGTAGTAGCTCAGGCACCCCAGGCGTAAGTGGGAAAATGTGAGATTAGCAGAAGAACCCTGGCCCAGGAGCAGGGCACCTACGTACTGGCCCCGGCTTTGCCGTCGACGCGCTGCTTTCTCCCCTCTGGATCTTGGTTCCCCGTCTGTAAAATAAAGAGATCGGAATAAATGACCTTTAGGAATCCTGCCAGCATTACAGGTAGTAAGTAGCATGCAGGTATTCCAGGTGAGGCCTGTGCCCTAGCAGACACCACTCCTGGAACTAAGCATCAGATTATTTCCCAACGTCATCTCTGTGAACAGTAGGTCCAGCCCGTCTGCACATCCAGAGGCTGCTGCTCCGCTCAGAGCTCACATGTGCCTTGTCGGGCCTCTCTCAGGTGGGCCTCTAGCCCAGGCAGGACCCACCTGAGAGGAGAAGCTGTAGGTGTCTTTTGATCCAGGTTCAGAAGTCCCCCTTTACCTAAGGCAGGTAGGTCGTGTATGTCAGCGATGGGTAATCCAAGGGGCTGGTACTGTCAGGTATTTACCTGCAGGCATCAAACATGGTTTTAGGGGTCGAGAGTCGGCACACGGCAGGTGACTTATCACATATTGGTTATTACCCAGCCAGTGTTTTCTTAAGATCTCAAGGGAACCAGCCTGGAGGGGTTGAGTGTTGGTAAAACTGAGGCTAGGGGCCCACAGAATGGCTAGGAGGCCAGGGGTAGCTTCTCCAGTGTGTACCCGATGGGAGTCAGCAGCCCGGGGTCACCCTCCCGTGCTCTCTGTCCCCATGGGCGCCATGAGCAGGCGTGTCCTGCCCCTCCCTGCATGGCCGGGCTCTGCAGCTCTGGACTTTGAACCTGCAGAGAGAAAGCACTTGAACAGATGAGTGCCTTGGTGCCCACTGAGGTTTGAGTGGTCCCCAGAACTGTTGACCAGCTTCATCTCAGGCCATGCCGCCACAGGAACTAGCAGAAGCTGTAGATACAGCCCAGGGATTTGCAAATCAGATGTAAATGTGCCCTTCGGTTGCTGTGGTGGAGCCACCATGTGGCTGCGACTCTCCTTCCTGGTGTCCAGAATGCGATCACCCTCCTAGAATCGGTCTGTCCACACTTAAGCTGTGCCGCGTTGTCCCTGGCGGTGGTGAGCGGTGCCAACTGTTGGCTGCACGGCCGTCTTGCTGGGTTTCGGCACCAGCACCTGCTCTAGGCCTTCCCGGGTGCTCTGGCCCGGCTCCGCCTGCTTCCTCGATGAGCACGGGTCCTGGGACAGTGGGCCCTCACGCCTCCGAGCATCTGGATGGGCTCCCCAGCCCCGCTGTGCCCTGCACGTGAGCTGGGTGCCACAGAGCCTGTGGAGCCCCCGTCGAGGGGGGATGTTTGCCTGTTCTGTTCTCAGTCGCAGGCTTTTTGTTTTCCTCATTCCCTTGACAAAACATGCCCATTAGTTTTTCCCTTTCTGAAGTTTCCACTCGGTGCTGACTCCCAGGGGCCCTGCCAGCTGGGATTTACACCTGGCCTAGGGTTTGGCCTCCGCGGGTCCTGACAGACTCCCGCGTCCTGCCATTGGCCGGCTTGGGCCTCATAATGAAGCTTGGGACCTCTGAGAGCTCCAAGGGGGACTGTGGTGGCCGAGCCCCTCCAGGTACTGGGTCTAGCCACAGGCTGGTGTCTTCTGTGGCAGGAGAGACCCATGATCTCAGACGTGTCCTGCCTCATGGCACCACAGTGTGAGCAAGGGGGTGAGTTTGTGTCTGAGCCTTGTTCACAGGCCTGATCCTGTGAACTCAGATTTGCCCCATTTCTGTCTACGCCACAGAAGAGCTGGTCGTAATTATTTTTCAGTTGTGGAGGGTCTGGGGTCTGCTAATCACTCCAGGCAGAGTGGACAAGACTGGCCTGGCTCTCAAGGAGTCCTGGTTGGGCGAACCCGCAAAAGAACAAGGAAACCATTAGTGCAGAATGGACATAGGATGAGATGGCCAGAGGTGACTGCGTCATCAGAGGAGGCCTGTTTGAGGAGGTGACAATTAGCTGAGGTCAAAGGCTAGGCAGTAGACAGCCATCTGAAGGGCAAGCAGAAGAATATTCCACAAAGGAAGAACAACCAGTATAGAGGTCCCAAGATGGGATGAGTTCAGTGCATTTGGTGGGCAGAAAGAAGGTCCCAGTGGTTGGGAGGTGGACAGGGCAGGAGGGGCCAGGGTGCATAGGGCTTAGACGTGCCAGGAGGAATTGGAGCTTTTACTTTGGGTGACCAGAAGCTGCTGGAGGATCTTAAGTCGGGAGGTAAAGTGATCTGATTTTTGTTTTTAAATTGGCTGGTACTGCCATGGGGAGAATGGGCTGGAGAGGGGCAAGCGGGGCAAACAGGAGGCCAGAGGAGAAGCTGCTGCAGCCGCTGGGGTGAGGGGCTGAGGACAGGAGGTGGACGTGGGCAGAAGGGGCAGAGTCCACATGTGTTAAGAGGGACGGTTGATGGATTTGCTGATGGATTGACAGCGTGAAGCAAAGACCCCACCCCAGGGCGACTCCAGCATTCCAGGGCCCGCGATGCGTGGCTCTTCGTCTTCTCTCTCTTCCGCCCCCACCCCAGCAGTGCTGAGAACCAGTGGCTTCCAGCGGCTGACATCGTGGACTGGGGGAGAAGCCCCATCCTGGTGCTGAGAAGGCTCGTTTGAGTGGGTTGGGCACCTCGTGGTCAGGACCACGAAGAGGGGAGACCAGAAGCCTCGCTTGTCTCTGGCCCTGTTTTCAGCAGGGGTTTCCAAGCTTAGGGCCTTTGGCCCTAAGACTCTACAGCGATGAGTCTTGTGCCTTTGCTCCACGGGTCCTATGAGGGGTCTGGGACTGGGCCTAGGAGCTCATACGGTTCCTCTCACTGTGGCTTTTGATGCGATCTGTGTTCTCAAGGGCTCAGCTTCTGTGCTCCCTCCCCGTGTGCCCAGGCACAGAACCGAGCAACGGCTTTGTCTAAGACCTCACTCCCATGGGGCCAGCTTAAGACCCAGCTCACGGGCAGGGATCCTAGCAGTCTTTCCACATGAAAAGTCTTTGCACAATTCATGGTGCGAATTGCCGTAGGTACCCCATCAGACTTGACCTGGGCCACTGTCCCTTGTTCCAGGGCCTCTGACGTGAGGTTCTACTCTCCCGGGTCCTGGTATCATGTGCTTGGGCCAAGATGGGGCAGGCAATCCCAGCAATGATGCTGGAACAGTTAGCAACCCCCTGACCCGTCTGGGTGGGCGCTGGACAGCCCAAACAGCAAGCCAGAGGCCTGGAGCAAGCATGAAGCTGTCGCAGTCGGCTCTGGGGGCCCCGGTGCGTACTTGCCCATGCTGGCAACATATTCCCAGCCATATGGGCCAGCTCAGTCCTCCAGGAAAGCTCTGGAGGCCTGACCCCAGGGGGAGTGACAGGAGGGAGCAAGCTGTTGACGTCTTGCGGGGGGTAACAGGGATGTCCCAAGCGTGCAGCTGGTGCCTGTGCCTGGCTCTAGGGGGGTGTCAGCCAGTCTTCCTGGGTGTGTCTGCTGGCACCAAAACCCTAGGTTGAGCCCTGGGGGAGGCGTGTGGGGTAGGCAGGCGTGCGTCTGTGAGAGCATGGGAGGCTCTTCTGCTGGCTGCCTCCACGGCCTGCACTAGCTCCGTGGCCTTCGCTCATAACTGGACTGGACAGTTCTAACTCTGTCCTCCAGGGCTTTGATGTGATGTGGGGTTGGCTGCTCCAGAGCACACAGCCAGGGTGGGGGAGTGGAGGGGGCGGGAAGGAGAGGAAGGTACTGGCCGAGGGGAGTGGGGGCCCAAGTCCTCTGCCACCCCTGGGTGACACTGTGCTGGGGAAGATGAGTGGGCTCCGAGGTCGCAGCCGCTTGGGGCTGGGTGGAGATGTGATGGGAAGTTATTGATACGCCTGGGCCTCCTTCCTCAGTCCTCCCTGGTGCCTTCCGCCCTCTTAGCAGAGTCAGGGAGCCCCTGGGTTCCACCAGGCGCAGACCCGAGGGGAGAAGAGTCGGGGGGTAGCTACCCAGGGGCCTCTTCTCATTGGGTGACTGGGTTGCCCCAAAGCGGGCAGTGGCCGTGGCTTTGGGAGGGTTGATGTCTCGTGGATGAGGGGAGAGGCATGTCCGCCCTGCTTCCATCTCCGTGACCTTGGGGCCTCTGTAGGGAGAACTTGCTGGCGTTGGAGAAGCGACGTCAGGTGTCACACATGAGGAGCCCGCGGCTGTGAGTGCATCGACTTCTGTTGCGCATCTTCAGGCAACTCCTGTTCTGTCTTCTCCCAGCTTTGCTGAATCCCCCCTGGTGTCGACCTGGTCTCAGTGTGTGTCCTTCAGCCCAAAGGACGCCGCACGGAGGCACGAAGCCGCCAGTGGGGGGACCCTTGCAGCCCCACTGAGACCCTCGAATGGCTGCCCGCCTGGGCCACCCACATCGTTCTCTGCGTGTTCTCCTGTAAATCAGCCCCGGGCGTGTTCCTCACACAGCACCCAAGTTTTCTCTCCAGTTCGGTATCATGGCCCCTCTGGAGCAGGGGACTTTTCTGCCCCTGGGCCTTCTAATAGTAGCCTGGGCTTGGGACCCCTGTGGCCAGGGCGGGTGAGAGGAGGTGTAATTAATCACTCGTTTCTTCTCCAGAAATGCTAATCAGGAAAAGCAATTAAAAGCAACTTTTTTCCCTTAGTAATCTGTGTTAAGAGCTGGTAATGAAGTTTAGGGCCGTTGTGACACAATATTTCAGCTTCATCGACTCAAGTCAAAACAATCCAAGCCCAGGAGTTTGCTGGCAGCTGAGCTGGGCCGGGGAAGCAGCTGGGGGTCCCAGTGTGCCTTCTGCTCGCTGTCGTCCCGCCTCATGCGGCTTCGGGGAGGAGAAAGCAGCAGTCCCGGCAGTCC